CCGAGTTTTCAGTCACAATGAGACTTCTAACTGTACTCAGCTGAATGTATTTTGAAGCCTCCTTTAAACCTTCCGATCCAATGCAAGAAGGTTGGTGTTGAATGGGTATGTCACTAATATTGAGTCAGACAGTTGGGCCATCTAGCTCAGTATTGTCTACACTGACTGGCAGAGGCTCTCCAGGATTTCAGGCAAGGTTCTTTCCCAACCCTACCTGGAGATGCTGGGGATTCAACCTGGACCTTCTGCCTGCAAAGCAGGTGATGTACCACTCAGTTATGGTGCTTCCCTAAAGTTAAATAAAGATTCTAGTCCTTATGAACCTGAATAAAGAGCTTTGAGGTTTTATTACAGTCAAGTGGTATATAAAACTTGTGAGCTATAAATTAAAAATAGATGACTATAGATCCCGAAAAGGTTCATTCAAAAGGCAAGTCTACACACCCACCCACCCACATACGTGTATACATGACATATCTACACACATTTATTGTTTGGTACTCTCAAGGTTATTTTGTTAAAGTCACTTAAAAATGCTGTTTTTTCTTTACTTTCTTAAGATGCGTCTTTTACTTTTTGAAAAAGGGTTTTTGAGGTTGCTGCTGAACTGCATTTATATTGCTGTGAAGTTCCTTTGCCTTCTCCTTGAGACGGGTGTCCAGTGAAGCCAGGAGAAAAAGGCCTTATCAGTCAACTCCCCCAGAGAAAGTCAAGCCATGAATTATATCGGGAATAGAACCGTTGTAGGGGAGAGAGCGAGAGCGCAGGATTGTGGGCCGCTGGGTGACAATAAACTTGTCCCGACAACTTGTCCTCCATCATTCAAGTTCAGAGATACCAGATCTGGACTTTAACTACAGTCTCTCTCTCCCCCTCACCCCCTCCCCTGCTCAGCCCCACAACACCCTTATCTTTAAATCTCTCGTGCGACCTACGAAAGAGATGGAGGTTACCCTCAAGGATATCTGTCAGCGAGGAAACTTGCACAGAGAGGAAGTTTATAACTGACTGGAGAGTCGAGTATCACGTTTAGATTTAACTTAAAGCTGTTTTAACTCCAGATAAGTTATCTGATTTGCCAGTGGGGGGGGTGGGGTGGGGAGGGAGAAAACTAGATCCGGCTCTCTAAAGATGGTTGAGAGGAATGCCATTGTTTAGGCTGATGTGTACAAAAGCTTTGTGTGGGTTGGCTTATTATAAAAACCAGAGGGTCTCTTTTCCAGTGTGCCCCCCACCCCCATCATACAGATTTTATGTTATTTTCATGTTTTATGTATTTATTAAACTTTTTAGCTGCTTGTCATCAAGATCTCCTAGAAATGTAGAATATAAATATTTTATAAAACAGAACAGAAAATAAACTAAGCATTAACCTTACATACAACACACACACAATAATAATAATAATAATAATAATAATAATAATAATAATAATAATAATATTTTTACACCGCCCATCTGGCTAGGCTTCCCCAGCCACTCTGGGCAGCTTCCAACAAAATATTAAAATGCAGTAATTCATCAAACATTAAAAGCTTCCCTAAAGAGGGCTTCCTTCAGATGTCTTCTGAAAGTCTGGTAGTTGTTGTTCTCTTTGACATCTGGTGGGAGGGAGTTCCACAGGGCAGGTGCCACTACCGAGAAGGTAGTGCCACTATCTAAAACACTGTCCCTCAATAACAGTGATAGTATTGGACAACCCTTCAAGTGTCCCTATTTTCCAGGGACAGTCCTGGATTTACAGAAGCCATCTTGGTTTCTGATTTGATCCTGGAATGTCCTGCTTTTCCTTAGGCCGTCCCTATTTCCATTGGAGGGATGTTGGAGAAATGTTGGTGAGTACGCAGTAACAAACAACAACAACAACAACAGATCTATATTCCCACCCATCAAGTAGAGGAAAAGAATGCAAGTTTTCTTCCTCTCGTTCTGTCTTGAATAGTCTTCGCTGCAAATGCGTTTTGTCACAAATAGCAATGAGAAATAGAGTGCCCTTCCCCATTGGTGGATGCTGGCCTCTTGAAAAGAGGAGGTCTAGCACTGGGTACAGCCCTGTTAAGTGTGGTGTAGTGGTTAGTGTGGTGAACTGGATTCGCTTCCCCACTCCTCCACATGCAGCTGCTGGGTGACCTTGGGCTAGTCACACTTCTCTGGAGTCTCTCAGCCTCACTCACCTCACAGAGTGTTTGTTGTGGGGGAGGAAGGAAAAAGGAGATTGTTAGCCACTTTGAGACTCCTTGGGGTAGTGATAAAGCGGGATATCAAATCCAAGCTTTTCTTCTTCTCTCCATTATCCCTGCTGGTCTATGTTTGAAAGGTGGGCAAAGTTGCCTGCCTCTAAGTCACCTGATGTCACTAAGATTAGACCTATTGAAATGATTGGAACATAGTGTGGATGTGGTGTGTGCATGTGTGCCTGTACACGCATTATAGTTAAAACATGTACAGAAATGCCTGTTTCACAATACAATGTCTATAAAAATGCTACTTTGGAGTAAGCTATGTATGTAATTCTTAGGCTTAAAATGAATACAGTGGTACCTCAGGTTACATACGCTTCAGGTTACATATGCTTCAGGTTACACACTCCGCTAACCCAGAAATAGTGCTTCAGGTTAAGAACTTTGCTTCAGGATGAGAACAGAAATTGGGCTCCGGCGGTGCGGCGGCAGCAGGAGGCCCCATTAACTAAAGTGGTGCTTCAGGTTAAGAACAGTTTCAGGTTAAGAACGGATCTCCGGAACGAATTAAGTACTTAACCCAAGGTACCACTGTACAGAAACTGAAATTGTTTTAACGCATCAAATTGCTTAAATTGTTTTTATAATAAATTATTTTAAATGGGAGTTGACATTTCTGCCATTGTTTTTATTGTTGACATTTCTATCATTAAATTACTCCAAGATATTTTATAGGAAGCTGTTCATAAATGGGATGAAATTTAAAAAAACTTTCTTTTTTTCTTTTCTTTTAAAATGTGTATTTTGTGACAAAGAATGTGAATTTTCATGCAGTCTTTTAAAAAAGCAAAAAGCAAAAAAATGCATATTGATGCTTATATTGGCGTAGAACAGACTTATGAACAAACAGGTGTGAAACTGTCACACACTGGACATGGACCTAGAAATGGTCTTGAATAGACTTATGAATGAAAATGTGAGGACCTGACATGTTCTGGAAATACAGTGGTACCTCGGATTAAGAACTTAATTTGTTCTGGAGGTCCGTTCTTAACCTGAAACTGTTCTTAACCTGAGGTACCACTTTAGCTAATGGGGCCTCCTGCTGCTGCTGTGCAATTTCTGTTCTCATCCTGAAGTAAAGTTCTTAACCCGAGGTATTATTTCTGGGTTAGCGGAGTCTGTAACCTGAAGCGTATGTAACCTGAAGCGTCTGAAACCCGAGGTACCACTGTAGACCTCTTGGTCCAGCCCTCATTACATCTTTTGTGATTTTAACAGTCCCCCAACTTCTTATTAAATGACTCAAGCCTCAAAGCCTCAAATTGGCTCTGAATGACTGACTTGAGGCAACAGTCCTTGATGTGTGTCCTTCCTTCCTGACCATGACCAACGTGTTCCAGATCATTTCCCACTCTGTCCCATTGGCCTGGCTCTGCTCTTATCGCTGTTCAAAGACTCCCTTAGTGCTCCCTGCTAGCTTGGATGCGGACTTGCGTCACCCATGGCCCTGGCCTAGCCTTGACTTTGTGGGCATTAATCTGCCACCGGACAGTGATCTTATATCACAATAGTGTAATAAAACTCTCACCTGCGAATAGAAATAAATCAATCCAGAGTTAATTTTTATTTTTTATGTTTTTAAAAAAGAGAAGAGGTATTATATGAACATGAAGCATTAATAAATTAATGGAGAAAAACACAGCTCCATACTGCACAGTTAAAACACAGCCATTAAAAAGCATAACCTCTGTAAAATTTGTGATAAAATTACAATTTAATTTTATAAAGATAATTTATTAGCTAATACCTCATTGCACATGTTAATAGCTTGTGCTTGAAAAATAATAATAATCAGCTTGATTGCTAGGGAGCCATTAAAGGCCCCCTCCCTCTTTTCCTCTGCGCTTGCGTAAGGTTTAACTGACCATTCTGAACGTGATATTTGAAGGGGGTAAGAAAGTAATTATCAAAGTCCTACGCAGTGAGTTAATTTCCAATGAAAGGATAATTTTATTCCAATGATTTTACATTTAATTAACTAAAGCTACAAGTAATTTGAAATTATAAGGTAACGCTTATTCATTTCCCACCAGTCTCGGATAGAGCAAAAACTCCATGAGGTGAAACGGTGCTGTTTTGGCAGCCAGAGGATATGATCACATCGTGCCATTTCAACCCATTTCCATTGCTCCAGAATTACTACTCCTGGTGCAGCAATAACGATCAGTTTTTTTTAATGGCCTTCCATTTAAGGGGCAAATCTCAGTGGTCAGTGCTGAGCTATAGGCAGCTGTCAGAGATGAGGATCCAGGAGTCCAACTAGCAAGTCAGAGCCGAGGGACTCAACCAGGAATCAGAACTTGATGAATGAACAGGGACCCATCAGAACCAGGAAAAACCTTATAGATCAATATCAAGGTAGTTGCTTCCACAGGTAGCATGTCCTCTGTTGCTTCAGGCCCCTGACTGACTCTACGCACCCAGTGGGTTCAATTTGGCAGTGGAGGCTGGTCTGTAAGGGCAAACAGGGCACTGCGCCACCAACCTCATTCTGTAACCAGCCTCTGCTTGCCTCTTTACTTACAACCAGTCCAGAAACCTCGCAGCTTCCTCCCTGTTCCTCCTCTGGCTCACTATAGTTGTACCTTGGAAGTCGAACGGAATCTGTTCTGGAAGTCCATTTGACTTCCAAAATGTTCGGAAACCAAGGCATGGCTTCCGATTGGCTTCAGGAGGCTCCTGCAGCCAATCAGAAGCTGCACTGGATGTATGGGTTCCAAATAATGTTTGCAGACTGGAACACTCACTTCCGGGTTTGCGGTGTTTGGGAGCCAAAACGTTTGATTCACAAGGTGTTCGGGATCCAAGGTACGACTGCATTGCCTTTGCAGAACTCAGGAGGGAGGAGGACGGGGACAAACCTAATCTTATTGGCTCTGCCTGCCATTGATTCTGGGGCTACCTACTCTTGGGCTTTCTGCTTGCTACTCTGCCAGTCCCAATGAGCAGCAGCCACCACTGGACCAAACGCATGCTTCAAGCTCTGCCTGTCTAGACAGACAACCAGTTCTCTCTATGTTCTTGGACCTGATTGCCTGGAGTCTGTAAGTGTTGTGGAGGGTGGAGGTGATTTAAAAAATTCAGTCCTCAATCTCAGACTGGGAATATCCCCTCACTCACACAGTTTAGGATATCCCACCATTCTTCAGCAGAGTTCCTTTTCTTTCAGCCATAAGTGGCTCACGTCTATGTCAAACAAAGGTTTAATCATATAGAAAACTGTAACGCAATAACATACTTTCTGAGAGAAACCAAAACAACATTATGAGGCAAGAAGCAAGAATGACAGTTGGTCTCCCTAACTGAACTTAACTGACACCTGAAGGGAGGTGCTGATTCCAGAGCACAACACAGGCCCCGCCCACCAGATGCCAGACATTCTACTATTCAAATTAGGCCCCAGTGGTTTTCTAATAGTGAGTAGGCCCTTATTGCACTTGCCTCCTGGCAAACTTTGGTAATCTTTGGTAATATGGTGCCCCAAGCAAGGCCAAAATTTGACACCCCAAAATGGATTTTCTCAATTATGCATCTTCTCAATTTTTGCCCCCTTGACTCTGCGTTCTGTGCAGAAGAACCACCCATTTCTTGACTACTCTGATTATGGGTCTCAAAGGGAGGCTTTACAACTAACTAATATGCATTGTGATTTCAAATCAGCACCCAAAGGGGTTGGTGGAGGAAGTGTCATTTTTAGTGAAAACTGGAAGAGGATTTATTTTAAAAAAGCAACAACCCATTAAACCCATAAAAATGAGCACCTAATCTCTCTCCCCCCCCGTTCCCCCACCTTTTTACAAAAGCCTTTCTGAGCTATATTGAGGTTGTTGTAAAAGCCTGTAATTGGAAAATTATACTGAGGTGGTTTTGGTGGGGTTTTTTTTGGTGTTTTTTTTGAAGTTGCCTCTATTCTCATTAGCAATTTGAGTATTTATACATTATGCAAATTGAGAAATTAATTTCTGGAGTGGGGGAAAGGTGTAAAGCTTGGAAGGAAATGACAGAGAATGCTGGTCCTGTCAACATTCCTAATCTGCCTTGAGAAAGGAAGATCAAAAAGAACCGCAGATCTTACAATTTTGCTACAGTTTTGAGGAGAGAAAAGAGTTGATTCAGTGCGTGTTTCCAGGCAACTGGCTTTCCTTAAGCTCCAGAGCTGCTAGCATGTTCTTTCCAGTGGTGGCTGGTGTCCATTGAAACTGGAGGAGTGGGCGGCCAGGAGCCCAACAGTAGGTGGCGCCAGAGCCAACCAAGTCTAGTTTTGTCCCCATCCTCTTCCCTGCTTTGTTCTACTAAGGCAACACTGATAGTAAGGAGGAGTAGGAAGCTGATGGGCAGTGCTATTCCCTGAAATAGCTGTAAGTAAGAAAGCAGGCAGGGACGTGGGTGGTGCTGTGGGTTAAACCACAGAGCCTAGGACTTGCCGATCAGAAGGTCGGCGGTTCAAATCCCCGCGATGGGGTGAGCTCCCGTTGCTCAGTCCCTGCTCCTGCCAACCTAGCAGTTTGAAAGCATGTCAATAGGTACTGCTCCGGCGGGAAGGTGAATGGTGTTTCCGTGTGCTGCTCTGGTTTGCCAGAATCGGCTTAGTCATGCTGGCCACATGACCCGGAAGCTGTATGCCAGCTCCCTCGGCCAATAAGGCGAGATGAGCACCGCAACCCCAGAGTCGGCCACAACTGGACCTAATGGTCAGGGGTCCCTTTACCTTTACCTTTAAGAAAGCAGGCAGATAGGCGCTGGTTGCTGTATGAATAAAACCTAGGTCTAATCACTGTTATCCATGCTCTGGCAGCCTCTGGGATGCATTACTATAATGCAGGGGCAGGGAATTCAGGTCCAGGAGCCAAATGTGGCCCCCAGATCTTTCTTTTTGGCCCTTAGAATCCTCCCCTGACTACATCCTTCATGCCATTCTGCTTTACACATCAGGTCTTTTTTTGTTGTTGTTGTTGTCTGCCTGGAATGTGTCCTTGAGCTCTGATGATGACCCTTGGTTGCCTGGGTGGAGGATAGAAAGGAACATGTGAGAGTGTATAGGATATATGGTGCAATTTTTTTTTTGTACATTATTTTTACTAACAGATGCATTTGTCCACACTTTGCTTTAGTATACACATTTTTGTGTGCATTTTTTTTGGCTGGAGCACTGCAAAATTGCAACAGCTTGAAGGATAATTGTGCTTGTTTTGTATGTTGATTCATATTAAAATGGTTTATATTAAAATGTTTTATACACACCCCATCCCTAAAAGGGGAGATGGACGTAAGATAACAAATGTGATGAGAAGTTTTTAAAAATGCAATGAGAAATAAAACTAAGCATAAATAAATAAAACCATCTTAGTTAAAACCCGGCTGTTTACTCAAAAAATGACATATTTGGGCAGTTCACCTCAGCCATTTATTTATTTCCCCACATGCCAGTTTCCTGTTTGAGTTTTGTAGTTTGCTATTACCTATCATGAAACCCATACAAATAAAATTAAGATAATTGAAATAATCAGATATCTCCAGTGGTAACCTTTAGATTTGCCTTGAAAATTTGTCCTGTGTCTTAGCTCATACCATGAATGTAGTGGCAACTCTTCTTGTTACCTTGATATCCTCGTTAAAAAGCAGGAAATCTATATTTTAATACGCTGACCAATGGGTACCATTTTTTTGAACAGATTACTAATGTCTTATCAGTCTTATTTACGTAATATGTTATAATGCTGCTGTTATGCTCTCATGATGAATAACCCTGCACAATACATCTTAAGTGGTTCATCTCCTTATTTTAAGACCTGAAAACACGGTTAGGGTGGGTGGCTAATAAATCTCAGAAATTAAAAGAATAATGTATTTATCTATTGCATTTATATCCCACCATTTCTTCCAAGGAGCTCAAGGTGGGGTTATTTATTGCCTTTAATTCCAACAACAGCCCTGTGAGGTAGGTCAGGCTGACTGGCCCAAGGTCACTTAGTGAGCTTCACGGCTGAGTGGGGATTTAAACCCTGCTCTCCCTGGTCCTAGTCTGACACTACAGCCACTGCGCCACACAGACTGATTATGTGATAATTATATGTATATGCAATTGCACGTATGTTTTGTTCAACTTAATGTGAAATAATTTCAAATGCCCCCTCCCCTTTATTTACCAATGGTTGATTTTATTAATTGTCAATTTACAGAGGTTTCCTTTGTTATTTAGTATTCAGATTAACATTTAATAACCCCAAAAAAATATACGGAAACACCGAATAATTGTCATTAATGTAAGGAGTGGAAATATTTAATAAAAATAATAATGATGCATGACACCCTGAGAAATTTACTCAAGGGTAGCTCTTCAAGCAAACAATTCTCTATAGATAGATAAATAAGTTAGTCATCCCTTTGTGGTAGAGCCACAAGTTCATGAAGAGAAAAGATGCGTGTGTGAATTTGCCCATCATGGAAACATCATGTTGAAAACACACACACACACTTTCTTTTTTCTTAAAAAGCGATTCTCTGATGGAATTATCACAGCATTATTCTCTTCCCCCCCCGCCCCCCCCAGGGCTCCTGTGATAAAGTCACTTTTGTGTCAGAGATAGCAAATTATGTATGCTAATTAGGAACGGGAATTTCAGATCTTTCTCTTCTCCCCCTCCCCTTAATAATAATTAAAAAGGTGTCCCCTTTTTTCTCTCTCCCTTCAAGGAGGGATGGGGGAATGATGATCTCAAAGCTCTGGTGCTGATTTCTGGTTAGCACTAATTACCACTGATGTATTCCCATTCCTAAGTGCCATTTTTTTTCTTTAGTTTCAATTGTGCCCATTATGCTGTAATGGACTATCTGGGAGTAAGCCTATGTTAGAGGGCCATGATATGGAAAACATTACTCCAGATTGATGGCCTTGCAGCTTGGCAGATGGAGAGGAAATCTGACTGCACTCTGTGGAGGTTTCTAGAACACCAGAAATTCTTAAGACCCCATCTTTCGTAAGAGTAAACCCAGTGAAATTAATGGACACGACTAATTTAGGTCAATAAATCTCAGTGGTCCACTCTAAGAACATAAGAAGATCCTTGCTGGAACAGCCCAATGGCCCATCTAGTCCAGCATCCTGTTTATCACAGTGGCCAACCAGATGTCCCATTGGAGGCTATAAATGGCTACTAGCCATGATGGCTTGGCTCGGCCTCCACTGTTGAAGGCAGTAATACTTCTGAATGCCAGTTACTGGAAATCACAGGAGAGGAGAGCACTCTTGTGCTCAGATCCTGCTCGAAGTTGACCCACAGAAATCTAGTTGGCCGCAGTGAGAACAGGATGCTATTCTATTCGGACCACTGGCCTGATCCAACAGACTCTTCTTTTGTTCTTAAATCAACCAATCAATAAATGAAGCCCATGACACAACACCAGCCTACCCTCCAAGGTTCTTGTTCTATGAGTCTTTGGCCTGAGTATTGCCCCTTTATTGGCTGTGCTGGAAAGCCAGGTGGTGCAGTGGTGAAAGTGCCCCTCTAGGACCTGAGAGAGCAGGGTTCGAATCCCCACTTGGCCATGAAGCTCACTGGGTGTGACCTTGCGCCCGTCGCTAACTCTTAGCCTAAGCTACCTCACTTGGTTGTGGGGATAAAATGCAAAGAGGCAGAACCATGTACACCACCTTGAGCTCCCTGGAGAGAGGTGGGATATAAATACAATAAACAAAAAAGTAGAACGACGGCCATTTAATTTTAATATATATATACAACAGTGCTATTCTCTCTTCTCTTGGCTCTTTGGGAAAGAATTTCTATTTCAGCCCCTTCACTTGACTGTAAGGGGGGGGAAGGCAACAATTCCTCCCATCTATTGGCCTCCCCCCTTTCCTCTCTCACCATGGAGAGAACTCTATCCTTGTGTAATGTGGTATTGTATATTTCTTCCCTAATGCTCTTTTGAACAAAATCATCTATTTCATCAACAGTATATCAGCAGTGACCAAAGACCATTAAATAATGCATCTCACTCAGGAGCGATGGAGCAAGGAAAGGGCTCTGACCTGTTTTAAACCTTATTACTTTCTTGCATTATGTCCCCCGCTGCAATCTTTTTGTTTAAGTGATTCGAGCTCAAGCATTGCTTCCTGCTTCTTAAAAGATGGCAGGCTGGCTCTTTTGGAGAGCCTCGGCGTTGGGATTAGCTGCCTTTGCACCCAGATGTAGCCCTGAGTGAATTAATCTTGGTTCTGCCTCACCAAAAATATATGTCTAAATGTTGTGCATGAGAGAGAGAGAGGGAGAGAGAGAGAGGAGAAAAAAGAAAGAGAGAGGGCGATCAAGAAAAGAAAGCTTTCCTAATTTCTCTCATTCAGTGAATTAAAATAGTTAGGGAATGGTTGAGAGCTAATATTTTATTATTATTATTATTACTAAGGAAGCTATCTCCCCCCTGCCCATGGGTCCAAATAATAAGGACACTTCCATGTGACAGTTTATTCGGGAATGTTAGAAGACAAGAAGAACCCTCTTTTAACACCATCCTGAAACTGAAAGTTTTGCTGGGGAGAAAACAGCAGAATGTTTGGCAATGTTTCTTTGTGACTTTCCTGGAATCATGTTGGGAACAAGGTGCCATGCATCAAGCCTTAGATCAGACTCGCCTATTTGTCCATCTGGTCTAGTATTTTCTACTGTGGCCAGTCAGTGAACATAAGAACATAAGAAGAGCACTGCTGGACTGGGCCAGTGGCCCGACTAGTCCAGCATCCTCTTCTCATAGTGGCCAACCACATGCCTGCAGGAAACCCTCCAGCAGGGTCCATGTACAAGAGCCCTCTCCCTTCCTGTGGTTTCCAGCAACTGGAATTCAGAAGCATTGCCGCCTTCAACACTGGACTCCATGCCAGTGAAGGCTGGTTCATTAGGGCAAATCATGCCCCACCAACCTCACTCTGCCCTCAGCCAGTTCCTACCTGCCTTCTTACTTTCAACCCATCAGCGGAAGGCTCTGCCTGCCATTCTCTCCGGTCCCGACTGTTGGACTCCCTGCCTCCTGCCCTACTAGCTGCTCAGTGCTGCTCATGCATTATTGTTATTATTCTGTACCATCCCTGTGGCATCATCTTCATGAGAATGCTGCTCCAGATTCTCCACACATTTGGTCTGAATTTGTAACCTACACTTTAAAAAGAAATTTATTGGATTTCCTGCAGAAATGGTAAAGGTAAAGGGACCCCTGACCATTAGGTCCAGTCGTGGCCGACTCTGGGGTTGCGGCGCTCATCTCGCTTTATTGGTCGAGGGAGCCGGCGTACAGCTTCCGGGTCATGTGGCCAGCATGACTAAGCTGCTTCTGGCGAACCAGAGCAGCACACAGAAACACCGTTTACCTTCCCGCCGGAGTGGTACCTATTTATCTACTTGCACTTTGATGTGCTTTCGAACTGCTAGGTTGGCAGGAGCAGGGACCGAGCAACGGGAGCTCACCCCGTTGCAGGGATTCAAACCGCCGACCTTCTGATCGGCAAGCCCTGGGCTCTGCGGTTGAGACCACAGCGCCACCTGCGTAAAGCTGGATTAAATGGGGAAATCATATGGAACGGTATTTTCATGAGGATGGCATTGTGCGGATGCTCTGTCTCTGTTGTGTTTCCATGGAATGAAGCATTTTAAAAATGTGAGTCTCACTCCTGCAGTGGTACTGTCCCAGAACTGTACCCCCTCATCACTCCATTGCACATGTAGACTGATGGTTCTCCAGGGCTATTGTCAACCACAGCATAGTGTTGGTGGGCGGAGTCCCGCTGGATGTGTTGTTCCGGTGGCTCACCACACGGGGGCACTGCAATGCAGAGATCCCTGAGTTCCAGGCTCAACCTGGAAATTTCTAGAACATTCCAGAAACGCATCTGAGACTGTCATTGGTGTGCTCTGATTGGCTCAGTAGTTAGAGCTGGTATAAAACTTCTCAGAATCCCCACCCCCCACCCCATGATAAGCTTTTTCAGACACCCAACTCAGAAGAATATTCTCTATAAAAGCCCCACTGATTTTATCACCTGAACGGCATATCAAACATAAATGTGAAGCCAGTTTTAATATTATCTATTTTAAAAGATTTGTAAACTTCTTATAAGTAACAAAAACAGCAAAGTGCTGTACAAAAAACCCAGACATTTAAGATATAATGTATAATCAATTTTAAAAATACTATACATGCAACTCCCAATTTACGCAGGGTTCAAGTGAAATTGCATATAATTGAAACACCATCGAAAAAGCCTGCAAACACCCTGTTCTACCCCTGCCCCACTCCACCCCTTTTTGGTGACATTTTGGGGTCACTTCTGGGTTTGGTGCGATGCACTTGTGCTCAGTTGCACACTTACTGGACGTACCTAAAACAGTCACTGCCTGCATAGCAAATTCACACATTCACAGTGACAAGCAGTGTAATTGACCACCAAAAACAAAATTAATTTGGGATTGTGTGGGTGAACAAAAAAGTTTTTGGCATGCTCCAAAAACACAGAATCAGGGAAAATATTTTAATATTGTTGGAGGAACTCCTCCTGTCTTATCCCCGGCTTCCTTCATCTACAAATATGAACCAGCAAGAGAGTTTCATTCAATATTAACAGCTGCATTTTTTTTCAGAGGTGGAAGACTTTCCCCCTCTGTCTCCAGCTGGTTAGATAATCCCACCTCCTTGAAAATATTTGCTAAATAGTCTGTAGAGTTTTTCTGCCCCTAAATAAGAAGGAGAATTCCTGGAGGTCATCTTGGCTAAGCTCTATAATAGGGTTGGGAACCTGTTGAATGTGGCTAGGTTTTTTCTCCAGGTCTCCCTTCCTCCCAAGCCATACCCCTCACCAGCTCTGCTTTGCATCTTCCATAAGTGTTTTGGCCTGGCTGGGATGTGTCCTCAAATTCTGATAATGCCTCTTGCTTGCCTGCATCGAAGGATAAAGTTAAAGGGACCCCTGACCATTAGGTCCAGTCATGGCCAACTCTGGGGTTGCGGCGCTCATCTCACTTTATTGGCTGAGCCGGCGTACAGCTTCCGGGTCATGTGGCCAGCATGACTAAGCCGCTTCTGGCAGACTAGAGCAGCGCACGGAAACGCCGTTTACCTTCCCACCGGAGTGGTACCTATTTATCTACTTGCACTTTGACGTGCTTTTGAACTGCTAGGTTGGCAGGAGCAGGGACCAAGCAACGGGAGCTCACCCCATCACAGGGATTCGAACCACTGACCTTCTGATTGGCAAGTCCTAGGCTCTGTGGTTTAACCCACAGCGCCACCCAAGTCTCATTGAAGGATAGAGGGGGTGTAAGTGAGTGTTTGTAGGACCCAGCCAGCTGTGCAAAGGGCAAAGTTACATTCATTGTTCCATTCACCTTTGCCTGTGGCCCTGCCCACCACTGGGATGTGGCCCTCAGAAGGCTGCCCTGAAGGGCATGTGGCCCTTAGGCTGAAAATGGTTCAGCAGCCTTGCTCCATACCCACTCTGTGAATATATACAATGGTGAAGGGACTGGGAGGGACTTGTTCAGCTCCAAGGAACAGCCCATCACCGAACACCATTCCAGAAGTCTAGCTGATATGCTTTAAGACGTCTCCCCTGACATTCAGTCTACCTCTCTCCCCACTGCCGCTGGCTCAAGCCTGTGGGGAGAAGCTTCCAATTACATCTTCTTACTAGTCTAATGAGGTGAGAGACAGGAGGGGGAGGGAGAGGAAGAGTGCCCCCCTGGCTAATTTTCCAGCCAGCAACCTCCACATTGCCTTTGTGCTACGGGAGGGACAAATCCTTCTTCTCGATTAGCAGCGATGGCTTCCAGGCATTTCACAAAGATTTCTGTAGGATCCAAGTGGGAGGGAGACATCACTTAGCAGCAGAGCCATGGCACAATGTTCCGCATTAATTTTTAAACAAATCTTCTCCATGAAAGCGAGAGCCCTGGCAAGGAAATGTCTTTGCAACCTACATGTGACTGTGAGGCAGATATGTGTACAAAAGCCAAGGAGTTTCCCTGCTGGAAGGCTGAATCCAGGGGTGAGAGGAAACTTCACAGCTGAAAAATATACACAAGTGCATCCTGTTTCCGCATGAGGAAGGCCCATAGCTCAGTGGTAGAACACCTGCCTTGCATGCAGAAGGTTCCAGGTTCAGCTCTCAGCATCTCTAGGTAGGACTGGGGGAAACAGCTGCCTGAAACCCTGGGTAGTCACTGCCAGTCAGTGTAGACAATACTGTAGATCAATGGCCTAAGGCAGGTTCCTATGTTTCTGTCATGTATTGCAGTGGGTGTCCTCAGAGGCTATCCTCTCAGCCCCAGGAAGTATAAACTTCTTTACCAAAATGCTAACCCACAAGGTCAGGGTTTCAGGTGCACCAGAGTCCAAGGAAACCAACATGAAGCGCCATGAATCAGTCTAGGCCCAAAATGTGACCCAGAGGCAACATCAGGCAACAGTCCAAGGTCAATAGCACATGGAGTAAAGGCAAAGGACAGTGGTACCTTGGGTTACATACGCTTCAGGTTACATACGCTTCAGGTTACAGACTCCGCTAACCCAGAAATAGTACCTCAGGTTAAGAACTTTGCTTCAGGATGAGAACAGAAATTGTGCTCCGGTGGAGCGGCGGCAGCAGGAGGCCCCATTAGCTAAAGTGGTGCTTCAGGTTAAGAACAGTTTCAGGTTAAGAACGGACCTCAGGAATGAATTAAGTTCTTAACCCGAGGTACCACTGTACACCAGAATAAGACTTGGTAAGTAGTAATGAGAGACCTGCATTGTTTCTAGCCAATGGAAGGATGAAGAGAAAGACCTTATATTCTGGCCTCCTGGATCACATATTAACCACAGCTGATTGATAGTGAATGAGTTTCAAGGGTTGCTTACTCACAAAATACTGTTTTATTACAAAATATCTATTCAAAACTTATTTTGTTCCAAATATTTTGTCCCAGGCTGCCTTAAATATCATATCTCCCTATACAAACCTGCCTGGTGTTAAGATCCTTGTGTGAAACACCTTCTTTTGGTCCCATCAACATCAGAAGCATAGTTGGTGGTGGCACCACAGATTGTTTTTTCTGTGCCTGCTCCCAGATTGTGTGATTCCCTCCCAGGAGAGGTCAGACTGGCTCCCTCCTTGTTATCCTCCCAGACACAGACTAAGACCTTCCTGTGCAGAAAGGCCCTTGAAAGCTAGGGTGCAAATGATGCTGACCACTGGACTGCTGTCAGGGCAAACTGGATTTCAGTTGCTGGTTCTAAGCAAGTTCTGATGTATTTGTTTTTAACTAATCTGTTGTTCTGACTTTGTATTTTATAATTGATGTTTTCAAATGCTGTGGGCCACCTTGAACCCCAGTTTGGGAGAAAAATGAGATATAAATACATTTAATACCAATACTAGTTTGCATTTTTTTTGTTATAGTATGAAAATTCATCAGGATTTAAGTGCCATTTCCCCAACGAGCACATTTTATATGCAATTTTGACCAATGTACACATTTTTGCAAGCATTTCCCCCCAATATAACATTTTTTGTATGTTATTTTCACTAATATACACATATTTTATAAACATTGCTGAGTTGGAGCTTTGCAAATTCCAAAGAATGGCTGCATTTCAGTTTGCAGATTGTTCTGAAAAATGTGGATTTGATAGATTTGGCTTTCAGCTGGCAGTGATTCAAATCTCTCCAATCCCTGCTCTGAGTAGAAGTTAGATTCAATCCTATATTTTCAAATCCGGTTTGGGCCATTCCGGGTCCGAGTTGCGACGTTCGCTCTGCTTGATGCTTTGTCTTGTTTGTGCATGTGGTCCGTGGATCGCTTCCCCTATCCCACCCCAAGATGTTGATTTTCCGCCTTTAGCAACCATGTCAGCCTATGCTTGGTTCATGCAAAAGAGCGGGACATCTGTCAGCTTTCAAATGAGAATTTTTTGTCGGCTGAAGCCCTGGGAAAATTGACAAGTAGCAAGGAGGGAAACACTAAATCGATAGCAGAGGATTTCCCCCGGGGAAGTGGAGGAAAGTTGGAAATGTTTTCTCATCAAAATCTTTTAAAGAAGCCAGGAGATGGGGAGAAAGGGGGGGGGAGGGTTTTTAGAGACCTCGCCCTGCTTAATCTGTTTACGCCGGTATTGTTTGGGGCTCGGGGTTGAAAAACAAAACGGGAAGTGCTCTGCCCAGCGCGCGCTCTCCCCTCTCCGGCGCTGATGTATTGGCGCTTTCTTAGTTACTGTGGCTCCGTGGTAAATTCATTTGGAGTCCTCCAGGGTTTTAAATCTCTCATTTGGCCAACAACGAGGTCTGAAAAGATTGCAGTTCATTTCGACCTGAAGTGGATGGAAGGCTCATTTACTCGCTGCAGGCAACTCAATCAGGCTGCCCGGCAATGAGTGAGTGACTTGTTCAGACCGCTAGTCAATATGTGTCTGCCGTGATAGAATGTCAGCATCTGTTGGCTGCTCCTGTCTCCCTGAGCTCGGCCTTTTTTTCAGTCGGCCTGATCAATGTTATTAAAAACACCTAGGAGTTGCTTAACTGCTCTGCTATTTGAAGATTTCTTGCTTGCTTGATGTTGAAATCTCCGTTTCTCTCCGTGTGCCTCAGTTTAGTTTCTCCTTTTCTTTCCCCTGATGAATGAGTTCCTTCCTTCCTTCCTTCCTTCCTTCCTTCCTTCCTTCCTTCCTTCCTTCCTTCCTTCCTTCCTTCCTTTTCCACCTGAGACTTTCTTCCCATCTGCCCCCCACCCCATTCCCAGGTTTCTCCTTTTCTTTCTCTCCATAGGCCATAAGCTTCCTTAGCAGACTTCAGGCATTCAAATTGAACATGTGAGGGTAAACATGTGTAGGGGCCAATTTCCTCCTCCCCCAATCTGCCATGTCAAGGCAGCAATGAAGGCTAGTGGTTTCAGCACCAGGGAGAGTGGTGAACAACCTTGCTCCAAAGAGAAACACCAAAGGTGAGCTAAGGACTTCGGAAGCTCATCGTTTCTCCTACCCACCCTTCCCAACTTCCATCTCTCTGGCCTAAAGGTCGTGGTGATTCAAAGACCAGTCTGTTGACCTGAAGACAAGCATATCTTTGAGTAGCCTGGTGAACTTCCTTCAGGTGTTATAATGTAGGAAACACCTGGGTGGGACTCAGGAGACAGCATCTATATGAGTCCCAGTTCAAGCAATACAGGCTTTGGACACTGCACTACCAGCACCAGGAACCTGGTGTAAGTCTCAAGCTGGTTCTACAGCAGTTCCAGACTTGGCCAGCTTCTTCTCTTCTTCTGAGGCTTAACAACCCTGATGCCCCCAGTACACCATCTTCACCCATTCACCCTTGCACATCCCATGTTTATCACAGGAGTGGAGAACCTTTTTCAGTGCAAAAGCCACATTCTCATCTGGGACAACTGGCCAAGGGTTACATGCCAGTGGTGGGTAGGACCAGAGGCAAAAGTGGGTGGAGCAATGCATGTAAATTTCGACCATTGTTCAGTAGCATCATTTCTATACACAGCCATCTCTGTCTTCCATCTAGGCAAGCATGAGGCGTGATCAGAGTTCAAAGACATAATCTGGCCATGTAGAAGTATTTGGGGTGCAAACAGAGGATCATTGACAGGTGTGCCCTGTAGGGTGTGTGTGTGTAACTTGTGATGATTTCCAAGGGACAGGTAGGGAGGCTGGGAGGGAACATTTGGCCCTCGAAGTTGAGAACCTCAAGCAGAACCTGAGTCCAACTGTGCTCTTCCCACCTGTGATTCCCAGCAGCTGGTTCACCTTTATGTAAGAATGAAATCGAATCTTTCCCCCATTCCTACTTTCAGGATAAAGGCACCTGCTTCTCCATGTGTCCCATAGCTCTTGAATTTTTCAGGATTGAGGCCCCATTTCATTATAGCATAAGGACATAAGAATAGTCCTGCTGGATCAGACCAATGGTCCGTCTAGTCCAGTGCCTTGTTCTCACAGAAGCCAACAAGATGGTCTGTGGGAAGTCCCGATGGCAACAGCACTCTTTCCACTTGTGATTGCCAGCAACCAGTATTCAGAATCAGTGGCCTTTGACAATGGAGGGGGAACATAGCCATTGGTAGTTTTATCCTGCATGGACTTGTCTAATTCTCTTATAAAATATTGTATTTTTCGATTCTTTTGATATCTTCATTTGATTTTCTTAGACTCTCCCTTGCTGAGTTTTTATTAGGGCCAATGCAGGGAACAGGATGCTGGAATAGGCAGACTTTTGGTCTGATCCAGTGAGGTTCTTCTTATGAGAAGGAGAACCCTCAAGTTAAGATCTGGAACACTGATGTGCCTTGTATTTATCACATTGCCTCATAGCCAAGACTTTAAAAAGCATGAGAGGGTATTTTACTGGATGCATCCCATGATATGGTGTAAGCATTTTATTTTTTTAAGGAAGGGAAGATTTCTAATAATAAAAAAAGGAAATCTAAATCTAATATAAGCAATTGTGTGAACTTTTCTTACTTTTTATTAGATGTTACTTTTTGTGATCATATTTTGTTTAATTGTAAGTTTTCCAAATTGTTTCTAATGTTGTATTTTAAATTGTTGTAACTTGCCCTGAGACCTTAGGGTGAAGGGAGGATAAGAGATTAAAATACTACTATCAGTACTACTTCATTATTGGCACAGAATCTGGGTGTCCTTGATGGAGAAATTTCCTACTCCAAACAAAGGATAATGGGTGATTGTGCCATGTCTCCTCTTGTAAAATCTCTGCTGCATATCATCTTTACTTTGATGGTCCTCGTAGCTAAGTGCTGTGTTTTACCTCTGTGCCAATAAAACATGATTTAGAAATTCTTTCAACTGCAGTTTTATTTAAGGGACCACATAATGCTCAGAAATACTCCACATTGGCATAAGCTGTGAGGAGGTTACCTATTTTTTGCTGCTTGTGAATGCCCCCAATTCAGCAAAGGGTGACCTGTGGTTGGAGAGACATCTCTGCATAGACAAAGGTCTGCAGTGCATGGTCAGGAGAGACCAGCAGGGGATGCTGTGTGCAAAACCCAGTCGAAGGGAAGGATCATGCTGCAGCGGTGCAGCTAGGGACCATTGGTCACAGATAAAGCATATGTTTTGCATGCAGAAGGATATCAAAGCAAATTATTGCCACCTCCAGTTGAAATAAAGGAGGTGCTGCTTCTTGGCCTGAGAGGTGCTGCTTCTGGAAAGTTGTTTCTGATCAGAGTTGCCAGTACTGGGGTAAATCAACAATGTTATGGCTTGAAAGTAGGCAGATTCTTGTGTTCCTGGGGGAAAACAGGGCACTGCCCCACCAGCTTCAGTCTTGATTCTTCCAAGCCCATCTGCCTGCCTTCCTGCTTATAGCCAGTCCAGGGGTTGGCAATGCATGCCAGTTTCTGGCTCCTGAGTCTCAGTGTTGCCCTCTTAGAACGCAGGAGGGAGGAGACAACGCAAGAATGAATGGGCTCTGCCTGTCTTTAGCTCTGGTGCCACCTACTGTTGGTCTCCCTGCCTTCCATCCCATCAGCTGCACTGGGCACCAGTCACCATTCCATATTCCCAATTGCCATGGTATGGCAGCAGGTCCAGCTTTGGAGCATGTGGAGCAAGGCTGGACGTTTCAATACCCTCTGACTAAATAAACGCTTCCTGCTTGTAGAAACAAGCATGTCAGGCTGAAGGCTGGACTGACGTGCTCATTTTCTATGCCCAAGGATGAGACTTTATTGTGGGCTGGGAAGCATCCAGGTCAATCAATAGCATTTATTGTGAGCAGATTCATGCCATTCTTGTTTCTTGGAAAAGACGAGCTCCCCTTTTGACACTTCCTAAGATGTTCAGTATGGGTGTGTGGGTGTTTAAATCCTTCATGACTACAGCAGACTACACCATTAGACAGCCCTCATAAATTTGTTCACCTTTATTGAGAAAGCATGAATGTCCCACAGAGACCTTTCCATATCTGCATCAGGTTTACAACCACCATGTATTAACGGCCAATTTGTGGCTAATAGCTCTCAGATCCCTGAGTCTACCTGAATGTGAAATGGCTGTCTTTGGGAATCTCTATGGTCTCTGGAAAGACAAAGCAATATTATCTAAGCATGGTGCTTTGCATATTTACAAAGGGCTTTGAAGTTTGTTCCAAAGTAGATACCAAGACACAACCTCCTAGAAGGGAAGGAGAGAGGGAGAGAGAAAGATGAGAGAAGGAGAGATAGAAAGGAAAAGATGCCTATAATTATGTTATTGAAGAACTGTTCTGTTTGGTATTATTTAGGGTTATTTTTATTATGATGTTGAGATGAGTTTCTTAAAGAGGAAAACTCCCAGGTTTTATGGCATCTCTTGCTAGAGAGAATCCTTGGGTGATTTGATAGCCTATTTGAACAAGAGTGATGCTTTATGGGCCCCTATAAAAACTGATGACCCCTCTCACATTTGTATTTAATGAAATCAGGAGGAGCTTTGGTTATGTTTTCAATAACCTTCAGTGCTAGCTTCAACCTACCTCTCTCATGAGCTGAAATCGGCCCGAGGCCCGCCGAGTCTCAGCTGGAGAACACCCCAGACCGTTTGGCTGCTAAGAGCCATAATCGGGACTGAAGATTTTGCTGGTTGGGCTGGAATTGTGTTCTAAATTCTCTCCCACTTCTCTTATTTGGGGAGGAGTGGGGAAAAAGATGCAGAGATTGCTTGTGTGCTGGAGTTATTTGCATATGTTAACACACTTTGCATATAGTTGCACATCTGCATTTTTTTCTTTAATTGAAAGGTGGCTTTTTTATACATCCTTGCACACCACTCGGTTAGTTACACAAGAATCTGGCTCATGTCTGCATGCACGATACTTGATGCCGTGACAACAGGTGAAGGGTGCATGAACAGACTGTGTTCAAAAGTGTTGCTTTTTGAAGGTAAGGCCTGTAGCTCAGCAGTAGAGCATCTGCTTTGCATTGAGAAGGTCCCAGGTTCAACCCCTGGCCTCTCTAGGTAGGGCTGGGAGAGATTTCCTGCCTGAAACCTTGGTGAGTCTCTGCCAGTCAGTGTAGACAATACTGAGTTAGGTGGACCAATGGCTGGACTCTGTATAACGCAGCTACCTACAATGAACTCCATATTCAGAACCATGAGGACTGGAATCTTGATCTTTAGGGGAAGGAGCAGAGCTGAGTGGTATAGTACATGTTCCATCTAGGGATGGAGGAGAAATTCATTCAGTTCCCATTTTAGTATGAATTTCCCAGATCCTGAATTGTGCAATGCAATTGTCCAAATCAATAATGGGTATATTGGTGGAAACCTATAGAAATGAGTTCTGTTGGGTGTGGGGGAGGAATGGCTTGCAAAACGGTTTATACTACTCCAATTTTGCTAGGAAAAAAAAATATATAAGGAGAAATGTATATGAAAATGTATATTACAAATGTGATTAAAATAAATAAATAGGGCAAATTGCTTTTAAGATTGGAGAGTGAGAGTAATTGGAAATTGCCCAGGTTTCATCTGTCCCTAATTCTATCTGTGTCACGATGCCTTCGATGATGTCACCAGCCTTCAGTCAAACTCATGCTGGAGGTCCAGTCCATGCAAAGGCTGCCAAGGGCTAAGCCTAACTTGCCTCTCTAAGTTCTTTGTGGGGTGTGTGGGAAAGCCATTTTAAGCATCACCCCTGAGCCCCCTAGGAGGAAGGGTGAGATAAAATCCTCCCAGTTAAAAGTAATAAAAGCAGACAGGTCTCTGCCCTGAAGAGCACACAATCAAGAAGACCTTTGTTTAAGAAAAGATGGACTGGACTCTTGGACATAATTGGTGGCCTCCTGCAAAGTGAGCCTTAATTAAAACTTTTAAGTGACTCCACAATGTAGATTTTTTTCTTTCTCATTTTGATGGCTCCCTGTAGTCCATGAGCCTCAAGGTTGGCCTAAGGTGAAAGCGCTGAGGAGAGAAGGAGATCCGAGTGCTCCACTGTGGTGTGTGATGTGAATGAGAATGAGGAGAAGGGCATATCCCCTTCCTAGCTGTTCCACTGGCCATCCGATCTAGAGCTCAGAGTTTGCAGTGAAGAGGAAATCTGGCAGGCTTTACGAGGACACTTCCAAGCCCATTGACCGTCATTTGCATTCTGGGCCAGCAGTAGACTCTACAGAGGCAGATGCCTTATGAATAAGCCTGAAAGCCAAGCTATAACATCCTTGCGGTGAAATGATTCAGAGTAATGTTTCGTCAAGCTGCGCTTTAATAGGCGAGAGGTCTTATTTTTATGATCATTGCAATGTAAAGGGTCACCATCTTAATGTTCTAATACTGTGTTTTAAACAACATTTACACTTTAACATATTGAAAAATCTCATCTTTCCCTGCCTGCTGGGATGACAACACAATTCAAATCCATCAGCATGGCAGTATATTCAGATGTTTTAAACATAAATCAGCCTTGATGATCCATTCCCCCCCCCACCTTCTCTAGTCCAGGCATTCTACTCCCCAGAAAAAAAAAAGGGGGGGGAGGCAGTGGTGCCGGTGCCTGAACTCATACTGTAGAGTTCTTTAACTTGTTCATTGCTTTTTTTTTCTTCTTTTTTTTTAGTTCAGCGGAATATCCCACCTGAATAATTCAGAGGAGTCAAGGAGGGAGCGGAAATGGTAATGGCAGTCCAGCCGTCAACAGAGACACAATGCTTTATGACCTCTTTTAGAGTCGAGGGAAACAGATGCTGGAGTGCAGCAGAAAGTTTGCAAATTGCTTTTGCAAGTGCAGAGCGAGGGAAACCGTGCATCATATGGGGAAGTGAAGTGACATGGGGGGTGGGTGTGGGGACAGGGGAACGGCAGTGGCAGGAGATGTTTGAATCCCAGTGAAATGTTGAGAGTTGGCCATGAGGAAGAAAACACGCTCAGCGGGGGGCTGTGACCCACAGCATAACTGGTGGGATGGAAGAAAGAATTCCCATTGAAATAAGCAGGACCGGAGAACTCTTTCTCCCCCAAATATTTTTAACTGCTTTTTTAAGAACAACAAACATGGTTTCAGAGAATAGAAATAAAGAAAAATAGTATTTTATTTTATTTATTTTTTCATATAAGTCGTCACATTTGCCAATGAAGAAGTTTAGGTTTTTAGATGCCCAACATTCCTCAACCCTGCCAGCTCAGGAAATATGGATGTCTTGATTTATCTTGGTGTGCTGCCATTCCTTATTTTCATTATTTATGCAATTTACCAAGCCAATAATAAAACAGGGGAGGGGGGAGGAAATAAAAGAGGGGGAAAGTGTGTGGTCAATGTTTACAAACAGTCCCAGGGTCTAAATCAAAACAATTACATATTATTTTTTTTTAAAAAAAAACATTCAAAAAGGAAGATAAAAAATAACCTGGGGTGGTGCTAAACAAGGGCAGAGGAAGGGGGGGTCCAGTAGGGATGGGCCACCCCAGGTGTCACCACTGAGCAGGTTGACAAAATGCCTGGTGGCACTAACTGCAGGATCTGCAGTGCGCCCGAGCCACACGCCTCTCCTGAGAGAGACACAGTGGCTTGTGCATGCTCAGGCTCCACGCTGCCCAAACAGTCCGCCCACTGCCTCCCCTCAGCTGTAGGGCGGCTGAGTGGGAGGAGGCAGGCAGACTCCAGAGGCCCCGCAGTGTGCCCTGCCCCTATGGGCTGTTTGCCCCGTCCTTGTCTCGCCCCATGGCGTCCGAGTAGCTTCTTCTGCCGCTGGTGCTAATTCCAGACACTTGCATAGATCTGTGGTATCTGACGCTCCGAAGCCTCAACATTTGTACATGAAATAAAATTAGACCAAATGGCAGAGAAGCAACCTCAAGCATTTCAACCCTTGGAACACTTTTAGCTCACATGAGATTTCCCCCAAGATGGGCTAATTGCCAAGTCTTGGGATAGCACTATATTATTGGGATCAAAAGTCTTATTGTGGCCCATTTTCAAATAGATGCAAAAACATTTCCTTGTTATTCAGGAATCATAGAATTGGATGAGACCCCCAAGGGTCATCTAGTCCAACCCCCTGCAATGCCGGAATCTCAACATGTGTTTCCCCATCAAATCTGAAACCATATCAGACCCTGAATCGACACACAGTTTCAAAAGAGTCAGACAGACTTCATATAATTTTTGAGGATTGTATCGTTGTGTGAGAAAAAAATTCCTAGGAAAACTCCTCTGGTTCTAAACATGTTAGGCACCACACAGAAACAAAGAATTCCAGGATCCTGAGAGCAAATATCACTAATACTCCTCCATCTAAATGTACACAGAATTACATCCTTATCTGTATGTGTCCTGGAGCTATAAATGATGGCCACAATCTAACACTGTGTTAAGCATGAATTGGAATATGATATGGATGGTAAACAGGTAGTTACAAGTTTAAATCGCCCTCCCAATTTAAAAGAAAGAAAAGGTTTTCTATACATAGAAAATTAGGGCACCGAGGAAGGTTTGAACTTAGATGCATCACTGGTTATGCTAGTTTTCTACACACACGCGCGCGTGCGTGCGCAATAGTCAACATGTAAGCTCAATAGGTAAGTAAGTACGGTAAGTAAGGTAAAGGTAAAGGTACCCCTGCCCGTACGGGCCAGTCTTGACAGACTCTAGGGTTGTGCGCCCATCTCACTCAAGAGGCCTGGGGCCAGCGCTGTCCGGAGACACTTCCAGGTCACGTGGCCAGCGTGACATCGCTGCTCTGGCTCGCGAGAGCCGCACACAGAAACGCCGTTTACCTTCCCGCTAGTAAGCGGTCCCTATTTATCTACTTGCACCCGGGAGTGCTTTCGAACTGCTAGGTTGGCAGGTGCTGGGACCGAACAACGGGAGCGCACCCCGCTGCGGGGATTCGAACCGTCGACCTTTTGATCGGCAAGCCCTAGGCACTGAGGTTTTACCCACAGCGCCACCCGCGTCCCAGTACGGTATGTAAGTAATATCAATTCTGCACCTTGAAGTGGTACAGTTCAAATAGGGCTGCACCACATCACCATGCTGTATGTGTAGACTAGCATGGCTCCTGTCAGTGGTGGCTGGTGCGCATTGGGACTGGTGGGGCAGAAAGCAGGGAAGACCAGCAATAGGTGGTACCAGAGCCAAGGAGAGGCAGAGACAACAAATTCCAGTATTGTCTCCATCTTCCTCCCTGCTGAGTTATACAAGGCCAACACTGTGACTAAGGAGGAGCAGAAGCACACAGTTAGTGCCACCCCCTGGACTGGTTGTAAGTAAGAAGGCAGGAAGGCAGGGGCCAGCAGAGGGCAGACTGAGGTTGGTGGGGCAGGACCCCTTTGGGTCTAACGGAAGAGCCTCCACTGGTTCCCTTAAAAGAAAGAAAAAAGAAATCCATAAGTTTCTACGCTGAAAGGTAAGCAGACAAGGATTGGGAACACAAGGCTGCTGAACATATCCATCCCTCGAGTCTTAAAGGTTATAACACCAGCTGTTTTCCTCATGAGTCTCCATTGTTTAAAAAATGACACGAGCAGAGATGAATGTACCATTCAGGCTGCTTGTTATCGGTGAAATAAAACTGTAATCTCCAGATCTCTCTCTCTCTCTCTCTCTCTCTCTCTCTCTCTCTCTCTCTCTCTCTCTCTCTCTCTCTTTCCAACCCTATAGGACATCATTGTGCCATCTTTTATGGCAATCATGTTTATTGTATTTCAGCCTCTCTGTTTCGTTGCCATTTCTGTCCAGTCCATGTTCCATGTGTCTCCCCCACTCCTTTATGATTCTTGGCCCATTTGGCAACATTAAATTTTATTTGCCATATGCCACCTCTGCTATGAGGAAGATAAAATCTTGGTTGGGGTAGTGTTTGCTGCTGTCACCGCAACCTTGCTTACAGCTCCCCTCCATTTAAATAGCCTCTGTTGATGGGCCTTAATTTTGCATTTATTTACTTTAATAACTCAGGAAACAGCCTTTCACCAAGTCAGACCACTGGGGTCCATCCAACTCAGATTATGCACACCAAGGATGGGGGGGGGCTGATGGCCCTCCAGGTGTAAAAGAATACAAGAGGAGCTGCTGGATGAAGCCAATGGCCGGCACCCTGTTCTCACAGATGTCAACCAGATGTCTATTTTTTGTTGTTGTTTAGTCATTTAGTCGTGTCCGACTCTTCGTGACCCCCTGGACCAGAGCACACCAGGCACTCCTGTCTTCCACTGCCTCCTGCAGTTTGGTCAAACTCATGCTGGTAGCTTCAAGAACACTATCCAACCATCTCGTCCTCTGTTGTCCCCTTCTCCTTGTGCCCTCAGTCTTTCCCAACATCAGGGTCTTTTCCAGGGAGTCTTCTCTTCTCATGAGGTGGCCAAAGTATTGGAGCTCCAGCTTCAGGATCTGTCCTTCCAGTGAGCACTCAGGGCTGATTTCCTTCAGAATGGATAGGTTTGATCTTCTTGCAGTCCATGGGACTCTCAAGAGTCTCCTCCAGCACCATAATTCAAAAGCATCCATTCTTCGGCGATCAGCCTTCTTTATGGCCCAGCTTTCACTTCCATACATCACTACTGGGAAAACCATAGCTTTAACTGTATGGACCTTTGTTGGCAAGGTGATGTCTCTACTTTTTAAGATGTCTATAGGAAGCCTCAGAACAGGACCTGAGCACCAGGGCACTTTCCCCACTTGGGATCCTCAGCAACTGGTATTAACATAGTTGCCAACCAGTGGAAAACCCTCAAGCAGCACAAGAGCATTCTTCCATAAGGGAAATTATGGTTTCCAGCAACTGGTATTCAGAAGCAGTACTGCCTCTGACACAGTACATAGCCAGTGTGGCTAGCAGCCATTGATAACTGTTGAACTCCCATCAGCCCCAGTCCGCATGGCCAATGGGCAGGCAAGATGGGAGTTGTAGTCCAACAACATCAGAAGGGCCACTGATCCTCATCCTTGGCCTACACTGATTGGTTGCAATCATTTTTGGTGGTTTCTGATAGGAATCTTTTCCAGCTCTATCAGTAGATGTTAGGGACTGGATCTTTTTTTACACAACCCATGGTTTACCACTGAGTTAGAGTAATTCCCCTATTAAATCTTAAACATTTCTATGCCACCTTTGAGGTGGCTTGCAAGATCAAGGCAAAACTAAAAGTGGTAATTAATGAGGTTCAGGGAACATTCCTAGACCCCGTCTGCACTACGCATTTAAACCAGTATCATGCCATTTCAAACAGTCATGGATCCCCCGAAGGATCCACGGAATGGTATTTTGTTTTGGGTGCTGGAAGGTTTTAGGAGACCCTTTATTATCTCACCAAATATAGAAGTGCCATTTTATTTCTGGGTGACTAAGATTGTGAATCTGTAATGATTTCCCCTAATTTATTTGATATTTAAAATGATCTACTATATATTTTGAAAAGTGGTTTGTCCGTTTTTCCATCTGTCTGCCCGCTGCCCTCTATAGGTTTGGATGACTCCAGAGATGTCACTCAGCATGAGGGTTCCCAAGGATGAGAGGAAGCAGTTTCATCTGCCTTTGGATCCTAAGTGCCTAAAAAGAAAGAAAGACGGAGGACCAAAAAATGAGTTTGGTGTGACTTTGTCCAATTTTGGGCATGGCGAGTCCAAACTGCACTGATGTGGATGCCTTCAAAGATATCATCACCCAGTTTAGCATGACTTGACCCAATTGGCTTCACAGGTCCAAACTTCACTGATTTAGATTATGAATGTAAAGGTAAAGGTAAAGGGACCCCTGACCGTTAGGTCCAGTCGTGACCGACTCTGGGGTTGCAGCACTCATCTTGCTTTATTGGCCGA